CGAAGGGTCCTACTGTATTGCCAATTCTTTTATCTCCCACTTTTGCATTGAAATCACCCATTACGTAGATGATATCATCAGACTTGCATTGTTTGTAGGCTTTGTCTAGATCTTCATAGAAGCTCGTGATTGCATCATCATCATAATCAGCGGTTGGTGCGTAACATTGAATTAGTGAGATGTTGAAAGGTTTTCCGTAGAGTTTTACAAGAAGAACCCTGTCTGAAACCGCCCAAAAGCCTTGCAAACTCTTGGAGGTTTCTTTGTCAAGAAGCATTCCTACTCCTCTCTCGTGTTTGTCTCCTCCAGAGTATAATAAAAGAAAGTTATCCGTTGTAAAGGATCCAGCACCCAGCCATCTGACTTCAGATAAGCCTAACGCATTTACTTTCATCCGTTCCATTTCGTTCTTTATATTGTCTAATTTTCCTTTCTGAAACATAGTTCTTACATTCCACGTTCCTATTTTGAGTGAGTTCTTGGTTGGGACAGTAGCCTGTTGACGATCGAGGGTCACCTGTCGTACATGATCACCTCTACCGAGCGAGATGTTCTCTCCGAGAACCCCCTTCACGCTGTTATCTTGTCTGGAAATCTTGACGTTTTTCATGTTGTGCTTGGGAGTGTACAGCGGTGGTTTTCCCTTGCCTTCCGCCGGTTTAGAATGGTTTTCTCCATTTGATGAAATTGCTAGTCAAGGCTAGCGAGCTTCATCGACCCAGGATAAGGCTTATGAAATCTTGATTCGGGGGGAATCTTGTTTCTGGCGGCCTATACTCGCCCTGTCATCCTGTCGTCTTTGGGTTTCTGTGGCATTTTATAAGAGTTTCGGTTCCAATCAAAACCCCACCACACCCTGTTGGCAAGAAGGCTGAGTATTGTCCGGGACTGTTTATTTGATCAATCGCTTGATCTTATTCGCAGCTAACCATCGTACTAATGGTCGTTCCACTATCCGCAACCTGTGGACCCGCTTGGTAGCATCCAGCTTAGCCCCAAGGGTACGAAGATAGTCTTCTTTAATGGTGTTGGTGAAATATTTTGATTAAATTTTTTTATTTTATTATTTATTGTTGTTTTTACTAAATAAATAGAATGTCCATTTTCGACTAGAGTTCGTTTAATTAAATTGCATTGTTCAGTTAATAAAGTTTTGTTAATGATAAAATACTTAATGCACCGAATTGACTGGTTACGCCAACTAAAAGCGACAGAAGCTTTTCGTCAATTTTACAATTACATGATTTTTCTAACGGGAAACAGACCGATCAGCAGTAATTAAACATTTAAGATGGAATTTGGACTTCGGCACTGATTAAATTTGTTTCATAATTCAAACCCAAACTCTCATGCAGATTTATGACAATTTTAGACAGAGATGCAGAATCTTCCTCATGCGCCCCCGCGCGGGGGGGGGGGGGGGGGGATTTTTTGAAAAACTCAAGTAATAGGGAAATTTTGGAAAGACCCGCTGGCCCAAAAAAAATACAGTGGGGAAATTTTTCAAAAAACTTTTTTGCGTGGGGGAAAATTTTTGGATTTTTTGAAGATTCTGCACCTCTGATTCTAGATCTAATGGCCGATCATAATGATTATCCACAAGATTTAACAAAAATATGTCATAATCAACACCATTCATTCGCCTACGGATATTTGTCGATTTAAAATATTTGCAACTGTTCGAAGGCAACCGTGCAAAAACAAGATTTCAACTAAAATAAGTCGATAGTATTGTAGTAACAGGATATACAGTTTCTTGAATATTGAATTGTCGGTGATTTTGGAATGTTTCACTTAATTCTTTTCATTTTTTCATGACTGGACATATTTCGTTTTTTTAATTTTTTTATAGGTATCTCCATATGAGAAACTCATTACTCATTGTGTTTTTGTGATATAATATATAATACCTTTAGCGTATACATTGGAATCAAAAATATATTGCTTCTTGAAATTGCTTAGCAATCTATGCTAGGAATATTTCCTCATTACACAATTTCGTATCTTACTGATTGCAAATGCATACAAACTATTAATGTATTTCGTTTTCAGAAAAGTTAAACGATGGTGTTTTTGGTTAAATTGACTATCTTTCTTTATTTATTGTCTTGCAAACTATATAATAGTGAAGAACTGTACAAAAAACTTAATGAATCATGATGCACTTGATAATATTTTACAATAGTCAATGATTACAAGAAATAATTTATAATCAGATCATTTATCTTTGTTCTGTCATTTTTTAGCAAATGATCATTCTTTTTATTTAATTTCATTATTAAGTAACGCCTTCAATTGTGTACAAAAGTGATAAATTGGAAAACCAACTACATTAAAATAGTCACCATCTATTTTCTTGACCAATGTTGCACCCAACGATTGTATGCCATAAGCTCCTGCTTTATTCATTGGTTCACCTGTTTCAATATAGGCTCGAATAGTCTCATCATCGATTAAACCAAACGTAACATCAGTTGTTTCAAAAAATGTCTTTAGGGTCATATCTCCTTGTAGAATACAAACACCAGTACACACTTGATGTGTATTATTAGAGAACGCTTTAAGCATGCGAAAAGCATCTTTTTTATCACATGGTTTTCCATAGACAACATTATCTAATGAACACATTGTATCTGCACCTATAATAATTAAATTTTTTTTTTCATTCTCATTCAGTGTAATTTGTTGATAGACATGATGACATTTATGTTCAGCTGTATCAATA